TGAAGTATCTAGAATATCTGAGTTATAATTTGAATCTTTTAATTATTAAGATTCTTGTAATATTAAACAATATTATTTTAAATATCTAAATAACTATTAGCTAAAATAAAATATTAAAACATATTCAAATGATAAACTCTTTTCAATGATCATCTGAACCAAGTTGGCACCAAAAGTAGATTGAAAACTCTGGCTTCAAAGTAGATAATATTCTTAGTTTTACATTAAGTAAACTTGCTATTGATAAAGCTCAAATATATAATACACTGAGAAGTAAGCAAAACTTGAGTGGTTTTTGCTTTAGGTTAAGCTTTTTGTCTAGTAGACTCTCTCACATATTTGGTATCTAAACTAAAAGGATATTCTGAAAGCAAGTAGAAACAAAATCAGTTCTCTGGTTAAGAATATTAGAAGCAAAAGAAAAAGAAAAACAACTAGAAAAACTCTCCTTAACTTGAACCCTTGCAATAACAATATATCTCCTCTTCATCTTTTTTTGTTTCTTTTTTTCAAAAAGTGGAGATTTGACTCATCCTCATCAAAAGATCAATATTGTACATCACTTCCTTTTGTGTTTACATGCTTGTTTGGACATGGTGAATAAGAAACACAACAAACATGTGAGTTAGCCAATCATGTGAAACAAATTGAAAAAAGATTTAATTTGGAAAGACCAAAAATATATTGAGATATGTATATATTCTGAGGCCATGTGCATAATATTTTTTAAAAAAATGCTTACAGAAGTTTATGAAGAATTGGACTGCTTAAGTGCACTCCAAACCTTGATACAGTACTCCTTACTTACTTGAAGAATTCTTTTATATGGAAAGTGCCTGGCTCGAACTTTATTCTATAAATAAATACAGTTTTTATTCTGATTAAGAGTACCTAGTTTTTAGAGAATAGCTATAGTTTATAAAATAATGAAAATATTGTAATGAGCAGCAATAATAGAATAGAATTTTATCTTGTTAGCAGGTTTCTTCTTTTATTTTTCTTATAGATTAGGTTTGTTTTTTTTTGTTAGCTTTATTTTTCTTTTCATTTTTGTTTCTCCTTTTCTCAATTTTAAAATTATTATTTTTTTTTTTGTTTTTTTCTTCCCTATAAGAAAATGTTTTCAGATTGGCAGTATCCTATTATGGAATAAAGGTTAGACAAGTCATAATTTTTAGTTCTAACTGGATTAGTGTAGCAGATCATATTTAGGTACCATTTAAGTGGCTAAATGATAGTAGACTTATAAGTTAAATGATATTCTGTATTATATATATAGCTACAAATGGTTTAATAAAGTACTATCATGACTGCTTAAGGAAAATATATATATATATATATATAAAATCTACTAATAAAATAAATATTATTCTATTAAACAGGCAATTAAAACTAATAAAATAATTATAAACTATATAAAAATACTAATAAAAATATAAAATACAGTTAGATCTTCCTAAATGCACATTATTAGAACTGGCTCTAAAGCATGTATTAAAAAGAATTGCAATTAGAAAACACTAATAAATTATAATATAACTATTATTACAACTTTAATAGCCTAGAAATAATAAATTTAATTGGCTAATAATCACATAGATACATTTATAAAAAATGTTTTTATAAGTGAGTCAAACAATTAGCATACACTTACAGAATAAAGAACATGTATTTATTTATAAGTTTTGTTATTGATCCAGACTTATATTATGCATTTAAAAAAATGCTGCATTTAAGAAAAGTGTATTTAGAGAAGTCTAACTATATAATATAAAGCTAAAAATAAATATATAATAATATATATAAAAAAAATAAATTCTATTACAATATTAAAACTTATATTTTTTTATAAAATAATTTTTTTATTTTATATTATTCTTAAAAGATAATAATACTATTTTAATAATTTTAATTAAAGAGATATAATAATTTAGTAAAGTAGATAAGTTGTCAACTCTTTAAGTAGTACCTTGTAAGTTCAAAATTTAGTAATAATAAAAATTTAAATAATCACCTATAATATATAAAGAATATTATAGCAATAATATTTTGTTAATTAGTTAAAATAAAATACTTGTAACTATAGTTATATTAGTTTTTTTTTTAAATATTAATGATGAGGCCATGTCTTTAACTTTATTAAAATTCAATTGAAATTTTTATAAAGAAAAACTTGCTTTTAAATTACATATGAAGAATAAAGACTCAGACATATAATCTGTAATCTAAACCTACAAGCGTGGCCAAAACTTATCTAAATTTGGGTGTTAATAATAATATATGAGAGAGAGATATGATATTTAATCTATTGGATAGTCCAAAGATCAATTTTAGTAATAATTTGTGATATTAAAATAGAAGGTAATGATAAATTAGAAGGAGAATTATAAGTTAAGTTTGTAGAAGATGTAATTGAAGACTGTGCTGATTATAAAATACAATATGAGATCCATATTTGTTTATAAATTTGTTAGTTTAAATGAAGAAGAAGTTTAATAGAAAGTGAGGTAGTTGTACAATAAAGGATAGAAGTATTGTGAATAGTAGAAATAAGGTTAATAGGAACTAAGCCAGATAAAGTAGAAATAAAAGATGATGTATGAGAAAAGTAATTATATTAGTATAATTAGCAGATTATAGAATATTTGTATAACTTTAGTTATACAAAAGAATGCAAACTGATACCAAATAATGTAAACTTAAAATAAGTTTTTATAGTAATATAAATCTATAAAACTGAAAAAACCAGAGCTTATTTGAAAAAACCTGAGTAGAAAAATAATACAGATTTTAACAATATTATTATAAAGATTAAACTAAAAAAATAGATACCAATGTATAGAAATTAGACAAACAAGAACCTTTAGATAAAAAATATTACTAACTAGGCTGCCAAGTTAAATCAAAGAAAAAATACCAAGTTAAACTTGATATACTAGAAACAAATTATATATAGTCTTTTTAAACTATCTAAATTAAGAGTTTAAAAACAAAATAAAGATATACTAAAATACTAAGAATATAAAAATAAGTTAATAGAATCAAGGCAAATTATTTTTATTAAAATTTTTTTCAAACTTTAAACTTAAATATTTTATCTAAACTTAATCAATTTTGACAATTTAGTTTTTATTTTAATATTATAAGTTTGTAGAATTAAAATAAATACTATATTATCAAAAATGATTAAGTTTTAGATAGAATATTTAAGTTTAAAGTTTAAGAAAAATTTTAATAAAACCAATTTTGTTGATTTACCACATATGTTATAAAATAGGTACTAAGAGTACAAATAAATTCTACAAAGATAAACTTTTGTTAATAGTTTATAAAATAGATAAGTAGTTAATAAAGGTCTTTTGTATTATACTGCCAAGTAATAAGTATTGTTATAACTAAGATAACAGTACAAAAAGAATAATGTTAAACCTAAATGGTTCTTAATAGAAGGTAGTAACAAAGTTATTCAACTTTGAGATAAAATAGTTAAAGATATATAGATACTAATTAGGTAAGCCAAAGAGTTTAGATAGAACACCCATAAGTAAAGATCAAGTATAACAGATAATGGATATAACTTATAACTAAAGTTGTATAAGTAACTAGTTATAGTCTTACAAATTATATATATACTTTAATTTTAAAATCAAATTTACAAATTTTATATGTTTTACAAATGAAATTTTAAATTGTAAACTTTATAATTTAAAAAAACAATAAATCTTAATTTATTCAATTTATATATTATAAATATAAAGATTAAATTTACTAATTAAATTTACTAATTAAATTTACTAATTAAATTAAAAAAAATTTTTTAAATGAAAAAAATATTAGCTTTTACACTTATATAAATTTTAATTTTTTGTTTTACTACAGTATAAACAACCTAGTCCCAACAAATAAATTGATGAAATTCAAAATTGCTAATCTTTTTTCAAAAAAAATAATAAATAAAAAATACTATCTTAAAATGTTAAATCAAAACAAGCTAAACACTTTCAAGTTCTTAAATTTTTTTTATAAAAAAGTTATGGCAGGTCAAAATTATAGCATTTTTATAATAAAATATGAAATTTGGCCACTTTTTATATATATATAAAAAAACAAATTTGGCCTCTTTAAACAATTAATTTAATTTTATATATATTAAAAAAATTTAAAATTTGGCCACTTTATATATAAATATTAGCTAAATTTTTAAATTGGCCTCTTTATATATATAAAAAATAAAATTCAAATTTGGCCACTAAAAATTTTTATTTTGTGTCTAGGTTGTTCGCACTATATAAAATTGATCATCGGGCGTTACTTTTGTTGGCTACTGTACGTACGATATATCTGATATTAATTAATTTTACGATCACGCAATTCTCACAACGAAATCACGTTACATAATCCGAACCCCAGTGCTACGAATTACCGGACTATCGAACAAAATTTTCGCAATCACCGTAAATCCAGATTAGCGGGATTGAACATTATAGATAGTCACCGTAAATCCAGATCAGCGGGATTAACATTTAGATAAACTAGGAAAACGGGCACCGCTTCCTATTTTGCAAATAAATTTTCGGAGCTACTAAATGTAAATAAAAATTCTCGGTATAAATGTATAATTAATATCGTAATTAGTAACAATTTTCATGGCATGGTACAATAAATATTGAATCCATTCATCGGTTTTAATGTGAAATTGGATATTAATGTTATTCAATTATTGTAATTATTGTTAGTTAAATTTAAAATACGACATATACTGGTAAAAGTCCGATATAATTCTGATTTGGGCATTTTATTTTTTTCTTTATTTTATTTTAGAATTTATTTAGTATTCACCCGAGGTGAAATTCACCACGATATGTTTTTAATTATTTATTATATGATCTATAGAAAGATTTACCTCAAATTTTAAATTAAAATTAAACTTTAAAGGTTAGGATTTTTTTGGCGCTGAACATTTTTTTTACTTAATATACCAAATGTCGGTTACCCAAGCGTTAAAATCGACCTTTATTTTATACCCCAGTTGAACCATTTTGACACGGATGACCCGGTTTACTATAATTCGGTTTTAAACTCTATCATTGAACCATCACTGATATCATCGCTATCACTGACATAGTCAATAACATCAGTACTGACATCGTCACTAGCATCGTTATTGACATCGTCACTAGCACTGTTATTGACATCGTTATTGACATCGTTATTGACATCGTTATTGACATCGTTATTGACATCGTTATTGACATCGTCATTGACATCGTCATTGACATCGTCATTGATATCGTCATTGATATCGTCATTGATATCGTCATTGATATCGTCATTGATATCGTCATTGATATCGTCATTGACATCGTCATTGACATCGTTATTGATATCGTTATTGACATCGTTATTGACATAGTTATTTACATCGTTATTTACATCGTTAACGATATCGTCACTATTGACATCACTATTAACATCGCTATTGGATTCGCTATTGACATCACTAATGACATCGTTGTTATTAACGTCGTTATTGAAATCGTTAATAATTAGAAAGCTTTTGTCTGATAAAATTGAACTATCAGAAACAGAAAACCCTTTCAAAGAATTTTCTAAATCATCAAATGTGTCCCACTGTTGATCCAACTTTTGTATAGACGTATCACCATTTTCAGTAAATATAAACGATAAACGCTCTGTCATGTCATTTGTTTCAGGATCCGAATTAACAGGAATAAACCTAGTAGTCAGAGTCAAATTAGTAAATCTAACTAAAAAAACAGTGTGCATAAGTACCAAATTATTTACATTCGATATCCCGGCTCTTTAACTTCATCATCTAATATTGCAAATTTCACCCTTGAATTATTCGTTGACTCGCCTTTTGAAATATTAATTTCCCAATTCTGATGAACTTCAACGCAATGTAATCCTTCTGTTGACTTACATTGGTTATAGCGAGTAATCATTACCTAAATTATAATTAAAAAATTGGTAAGAATGATTATTAAACCATTAATTAAGAAAATGTATAATATATCACACCTCAAAGAGTATTGCTATCACCAAAAACAAGTCTTTTTGTAAATTTATAACAGATAAAGTTTGATCTTTATAATCGTAATCATGTATGTTGATATCACCTCTAATCTCTCTGATACATTGTGAGAACTCTTCATTAGACATTAAATCACTTGTATATACCCGTTTATCCGGATCATTCTATTAATAAGGAACAAAATCTTTTTTTTCAGTTCAAATAAATAAAATAATAATGTTACACACAACATATATGCATATATATATTAACATACCCTACCATACCACCATAACAATGTTCTCCAAAATTTTCTCTGACTTTCACGTGGTTTCCAGCGTTCTTGTGATGCTAGGTATAGTATCTGACCTAAAGATTCCGCCCCATGATTAACAACACAATGATACTGCCTTTGGACAAGTAGAATTATAAGAAAAAATTCAATGTCTATCAAAGTTGGTGTCTCAATTATCAGATTTCTTTTTGTTTTTATTTCTTTTTCTGACAACAAGCGAGCCAACCCAGTTTCCATTTGACCTCGTATCGACATGTTTTGAAACAATGATGATAAAATTTGAATGGACGATGGAACATCGTGATGTTTTCCGGGTTCCGGAAACTAGTATATAACTACATTTGTTAAGATTAATAAAGAAACCAATAAAATACACATAATTACGAACCTTTGGACAGTCTTGTAATCTCGGAAAGATGTATCGTAACCATTCTCGCAACACACCACTTTCTATATACCAAGCAGAAACAGCCAAAAAACTATATTTGAATATAAGATTATTTAATAGGTTTATATGTACTTAAATATGTATTTTTGGAAATTGAGAAATCCTTACCGATCCAAATCATATGGGGCACAAAATGCTATCTTATCAATCTGATTTGCCATTTGAGCCAACCATATTAATGTATTTAATTCAGCCAATTGGTTTTTACCAACATTTTGAATTAACTCCTTAATAAGATAATTATGCTCAGGTAAAACAAAATTTTGTTTAACATCATCTTCATATTGGGAGCATGGTTTTAATACATATGCAGCGGAATCGTTTTTATTCAACCAAGCATAATCAAAACAATGTAGCAGAACCAATAATTGATGAGAAACATCACTTATCCGTTGGCACATTAGGTAAATAAAATGAGTAATTGGACGATCAGGGTCACGGAAAGTCTCACGACGAAAAGATAAACATGATTTAAATTTTGAATAAGCAGCACAGAGATGTTCTTGATTTTTCTGTACTGTCTTAGAAACTGGAAGCTTAAACTGACTCAAGTCAGAAGATGCGAGTTTTAGTTGGAAATATCCATCATGTCGTAAACTTCGAGATTGATACTCCTAATCAAGTATAATATTAAAATTACAATAATATATATAATTTTGGAAGATCGTATAAATTAATTAATTAAAATAAACCTGTCGGTAACGTGTCCATTTTTCAACTACTTGATGATTTTGAGATGGAGGTGTTTCCCATGTCTTTATAAGATCTGAAAACTCCTTAACAAGTTTGCCAGATTCGTCGCGTGGCCTATATATATTAATGATGATAGTTAAAATCGACGGTTACATAAATAAATCGAATATAATATACACCTACTTTATTTTTAACGATAGTCTGATAACATTGTCACAAGCGAAAAATATCAACTCCGTTGATTCATGTAGCAGTTCCTTTATACTGTCAATATTGGCTAATTTTCTCAGTTTTGGAAACGTATTCTTGACAAAGATATTCCATTCTAAGCTATCAGCAAAATTGTAACGTCGTTGTAATACATGTTTCCATACACTTAAATATATGAACATACATCTCAATTATCTTGTTAAAAAAAAAAAAAAAATTGGGTGGTTTTTTTTTTTGTTTACTTATATTCGTTATAAAATTTACCGTTGATAATCATGTAGTTTCAATAATGCCTTAGCAAGGATTATATGAAAAGCGGGATCGATAAAAGTATCCTCAATCGTTAACAAGCCTTTTACAGTATCATCAATCCATTGAATACTAGCCACTAAGCAAATTTCCAGTGTCAACAAATTGATTTGAGGGAAATAAAACCAAGTTACGTCTTTTAAGGTACAAAGATGTACCTGGTGTACTTCCATCACGATGCTTTAAGCAACCACGCCTATCAGATTGTCTTTCTGCATGTTGAACTATGATGGAATATGTTTTATGTAATAGTTGTATTGCTTGAGGAATGTATTTTCTATTTACTTGACTAGATCTATTTATAAAGGTTACAAGTAAGTAACATGGTGTAAATAAATTTTAGATAAATAAGTGACAAACCTTTCGATCCAAAATAAGGACTTATCAGTAAACTTCTTTATTTCAGTTTCATCTTTAACCTTTTTCGCCAGTAGTATGCAGAGTTCAGCAACTTTATATTGCATAAGACGAATTTAATATATACTAATATAAATTATGAAATAGTAAGGATGAAAAACTATTTTGGACAAATTACCGTCTAACGCACGATGCTGTGAAGCACCTTTGCTACACAAAGCTCTAAACAAAAAAATAAAGAATAATTAAACCTGCAAGTAAAATGATAGCAGTAAATCTGGTTTACCTTTCATAGAAATCTAAAGCAGCCTCTAGCTTGCCCTGCCTTCTGTAAACGGTACCAAGTAGATCGTTTGCCTAGGAAGACTTGGGTTATTACAAGTTTTAATTAAATATATGCATAACATTGAAGAGATCTTTAATTGCAATTTCTTACCTCATAATCATCAGATTGTAGTCTCAAAAGTTCAAGTAGATATTTTTCAGTTTTAGAATAGTTTCCAACCTTAAAGTACAAGTTTGCGATTGAAAGCCAGGAGTATTGAACGCGATTCGGTGATATGTCAGTTTCAATGGTTTGAGAAACATATTCATCTATTTCGCTGCTTGTATTGAAGACAGATGGTGATGGTGTAAAGCGTTCCATATCAATATCGTTATTTTATTAAAAAAGAAAAGGTGTTTGGTTTATATCAATTCTGTTGTCGCGATGCAAATCCGATCTATAGGTAGACATCTTTTGATTGGGTAATTTTTGATCCAGTGATCTGTTTTCTCGATGTGACGATTCTAACGAGTCCATAAAAAAATGTAGCTTGCGTTATAATTAAAGCACAGCACAGAATCCAAATTTAAAATTTCATAATAGCTCGGTATAAAAAGCGCCATAGGTCCTTAAGAAATCATAGTAATTTTTATGACAAACTTTATTTTCTTTCAGAACCGTTAATTCGTTATAGAAAGAGTTGATCGTATTTGTTTTTTAAAGAATTACACGTAATTGTAAGCATAGATACATAGATAACTTTTTTAAAATAATATTTATTTCGTATTTGTTAATTTATTATTTGTTTTTTTTATTATAATTTTATTAAATAATTTAGTTATACAATAATACAGTAATAATGATAATAATAATAAAATTAAATTTTTTAACGTAATTAAAATTTTTTGATGATTTTTTTCTAAAAATTTAAATGTCGTTAGTAATAATGATACATATCAGTCATCAAACGAAATCGCTTGATGTCCAGGTCACACCACGAGGAGGTTTGCATCATGTGACCCAAAGGAGTTTAAAATCGGGGATTTGAAAGAAAAAACCAAATCTCTAAAGAAAGGGATTAAGGAAAGTCGAAATTAATAGTATATTCGATTAGTTTTTTAAATTCATTTATTTTCCCGATCTAAAAGATCTCGAAATGATAAAATACGATATTGATGATGTACCAAGTCATCAATAAAGTTGCGATGTCATCTCGCTAAAATGAATGACCCTCTGGATATACAAGAAAACCTACTATTGCCCTCCCTCCCTCACGCAATAGGTGCTTCATCAGTTCTGGAAATGCACTACGAGTTTTTCGAGGGTCGTTGGTTTTTGGTTTTTGGTTTTTCGGTCAAAACCAACAAGAACATACCTGATACTATGATAAAAAAAAATAAAGTTGTAAATATCTAAATTTGAAAAAATCCAAATACAAATACGTATAAACAGAAGTAACGAGATAAATACATTAAACTCCGTAGTATACCGGCGACGTAGGATGGTACGACGAATAAAACAACAGCCGAAGAAGAAAAATATTTGATTGTAAAAAGAAAAAGTGGTATCGGTATATATAGTATGATTTCGATCACGGTATACCGTGGGAAATGCGCAGAAGGTAGTTTCATAGACAAAATTAGCAATTTTTTAAATTAGAATCGCTTATTAGCTGTCGATCATATATTTGGTTCAATATATGTTAAATAAAATTAAAATTATTTTATGATTCGAGTGTTAAAAATTATATATGACAAATTTGAATTGACGAGTCTAATTACTATCTCTATACAAAGGTTTAACAAACGTTGTTAAATTATTTTTACATTTGCAAACTAAATGCAAATGGAATCTGAATAATTGAAAAGATACTTGGGAACTTAATTGTTATTTTAAACATGTATAAATATTATATAGTTCATCCTGTCAAACCGATCCTGTTAAAACTGATGTCTGTTTTTGATATAGTAATGTAATTAGACTTAAACCTGATAATCTTCTAAAACTGATACAATCTTTGTGCTCATAAATGTACAGTAGTAACAATTTAAAAAATAACCTTTCTTGAATGTTTAAAATACCGTTTAGCACTGCATAAAGTATCTCTAAAAATAATACCCTTCTTGATTAAACTCATCTGGCTTTAGTTCTTGAATAGTACAATAACTATATTTAATTTATTATCTTCATACGTATGAGTGCTGACCTGAATCCGGAAAGTACAGGTTATCAAAATCATTAGCGATTTATCGCAATGATAGTAATCGTGATGATAGTAATCGTGATGATAGTAATCGTGACGATAGTAATCTGTACTTTCCGGATTCGGGTTTCCCTTGGCGCCACTCATATGATATATTCCCATATATAATACCTAAATTAGAACATCATTATGACATGATTGTTCATATGATCGAGCCTGAATTGTTTAATTGGTTTAAATTTCACCACTTCATTCATAATGATAACGCTAATAATTAGTACGTAAACTTCTTGTCATTAAATGTATCATTACATCATCTGGATTTAAACGAATTTGTATGGCATGAGAGCGAATTGTAAAATGAAACCGAATACATATTCAGAAACTACTCCTTTTACTCTATATACAATAAAATAATTCGGAGAAGTATATAATTCAAGCTTGTCATCTAAATGTAGGGTTATTTAACCAAGTTTTTAAAAGTTTAAACATATTAAATGTAGGGTATACATAGGACATGTATGGTTACACGCCTTTATGAGCATGTATTACACTCATTGATAGTTGACGGTTCTTTTTAGTTTATTTATGTTATTTATTATGTATCTTTATGTACTAGTTAGCAAGCGAATTGATTAATAAAGATTATTTATATATCTAAAGACACTATTATTATAAATTATTATTATTATAATTACAATTTATTTATAATTTAAATATACCGTTTTGCTAATAACTCCGAAAAAACTTTTCGCTTCGAACTTGTTTTCTATTAGCTAAATCAGAGTGAAAGCGAGGGTCTTAAAAATAATCTGACACCTGGTGTGCGTCACGTGACAAATATATTGAGCACTAAAAATTCATAGACTACCACGATAAGCAATAAATTAATCATTTTATTTATTTGAATAAACCTGATTACAATTTTCTAAGTATTGTATTTGGAATATTCTTTTAGAAAGACGATGGGAAATTTAGAATCTTCGATACCATTATCACGAAAATAAATGTAAAATAAAATCTGCAAGATTTTTATAATTTTTATAATTTTATATATTTATTAATTATTAGTGGAATTTGGTTACGGTAATCAAATGTATATTTTTAAAATAGTCTGTTTATATACTGGATTTTATGCTTTCATTTTGAAAAAAAATCACTTATTAAATCAATTATGTTGGTCGACGCAATTCTTGAATGAGTGCCAGGTTAATGGCGCAGCAACAATTCTTTAAAGTTCGTTTATGTTAGAGTTAGGGTCAGGTTTGGAATCAGAGAAGAGTAGTTTATATAGTAAAGTTACCCAACGAAAACTTTTATTAGAGTATTAAAGGTGATTTCTTATGCTGATTTTTGAGAAGTAAGCGATTCTTGACAAAATGGACGCAATCTAATTCGTAGTTCAGGAAATCTGCTGGCACACATTCAAGAATTGCGGTAAGTATACCTTCTTGTACAATGATTTGTGCTAATCTAAAAATAGTTACCAAAAACTGGTTGATAATCAATTACAGAACTATAATCTTGTAATAAGTGAATAACAAAAACCGTGAGATGAACAAATCGTAAGAGGATGACTCACACAGTTCACCTACGCCACCAACCTAGCACACATTCAGGAGATGCGTGGCCGACAGTCGTTGATTTCTTCATAGCAGACACCGCATTATGACGTATCCTTCATTCATGTCATAAGCACAATGTCCTAGTGAATAATCAGTGCTCAAAATTCTATTGTAAAATGCCGTTTATGGCGCTTTGCAATAAAGTGTGACACTGATTTTTGTGATGATGGTAGTTGGAATAAACAATTGTATATATTGTTTAAAGAATCGAAAAATCTGCTAAAATCGCTAATTTTTTGCAATTTCGCATGACATCGTGATCTGCAGATGTCACTTTATTGCAAAGCGCCATAATTACAGCTGTTTTCATAAATTCTGGAAAATCTGGCAAAAATTAACCGACCGAATATTTTCCGATTCGATATAAGCTTTTGATTTGAATCCGAATCAAAAGTTTATCATTGCCGAATCAAAACTTATCGAATCGGAATTTAAAAAAACAGCTGAAAGTTGACTTCCGACGTAATTTTAAAGCGGCCGGAAATTTTATATAATATAAAATATAATAAAGGATCATCGAAAATAAAAATTTGATCAATTACTACGTATCTCAAAATCATCAGAAAAGCAGAATTCAATGTCGAAATTTGAACTAAAGAGCCAAATAAAATTATAGCTATGTCTTCACAACTAAATTTACATAGTAATAATTTTATTATTGCATATTTTGTAAAAATTTTAGAACTTTAACTCGAATAAACTTTTTTATTTTAATAAATTAATAATAAAATATATTATTGTCTTTAACATTATATTTCGATAATTTAATTATTACTTTTGGTTTCTAAAAATAAAAAATAAAAAAAATTAGTTATCATTATTATTATAACTAGTAAATACAATGTAAGCAGCTAATAAGTAATGAAAGAGGTCAGAGGTTAGAGGTCAGCAAAAAAAACGGCTTCAGTTATTCTCCGCATAGCCACAGAGACAAAAGAATAATTTCTTAAAATGATCGATTTTGCAAGAAATTCTTGACTGCTATAAGGAAAAACGTAACCAACTTCTCATTCAGAGCCAGTAGACCTTATTAACAGAAGCACCTGCTTCAAAATCTACCATTGTTCGAAATTATCCTTCTACAAACCCCTAACATTGCATTATTAAGCTACAAAGCTAATGTACATACCTTTTACGATAACTAAATAAACCGGTAGTAATTTGTTCGTAGTATTGGCTTTAGAGTTATTAACGTATTTTGGTATTTAATAATAAAGACAAAGTTAGTTATAATGAGACCATAAAGAATCTAACATTGCTTGTAAATTCAAAGTATTTTTTTTGCTCAACTAATATCTCTTGTTACCTAATAAACCTCCATAAAAAATGTCCAAGTGCTCTAAAAAGTGGTCTAAGTAACTCAAACGCGTTATAACAAATATAAAAAAATATTTACGTGTAAAAAAACAGATCGCTGTACACAAGTGCGTAAAGCAAATAATCGAGGGCGCAGTCACATGATTTCCGACCTATATAATCTTACCCAGCATCTTAGCATCTTAGGAAGGTATTAGTAAATTTGCCCAAAGAATTTTTTAATTCGAGCACGAAAGGTTGTTTTAACATCTATTTGCTAATTTACTGTCGATCATCACGTGATAGTAGAATTTTGTGGCGATGCTAGGGATGCTAGGGTAGCTTTAATATTTTCTACTGAAGGTTTCTCAATGATTATGCTATTAAATTCAAGAAAAAATTTTTAATTTCAAATTTTACAAGTTTGTAAAATAGAAATAAAAAAAGTTTGTTGAGTTTGACTTGTCATTTATCGAGAAAACTCCATTTAAATTTTTTTTTAAAATTATTAAAATCGTAATGCGTAGTAAATAATTTTTACAATAAATAATTAACCGAATGATTATTCTTCGATAAATTATTGATTTCGGCATGATCAATGTATTTACGTAGATGCTAATCGATTTGCAGTGACAATTATTAATCGATAATGACTAGATAACAAATATCGATATGACTCTAGTAAAGTATTATATTCAGTCGAAAAAAATTTATTTATTTACAAATGAGCTTATTTCATTTTCTGATTTTAAATTTTCACTTAATTTCAAAATGCCCCACTCATTTGCTAACGTTGAAAGACGTTTATTAAACCTGAATGATATAAAATATCTTAAGACTTTAATATAAGAAAAACCTAACTGATATTTGTATAAGTTAAAGTAAAGATCATTTGAAGCCTTGTAGTTTCACGATGGGTCTAATTTATAAATCGATTAGCAACTTCGTACGTTTCGAAAATGATATGATATTGTTAATTGATCATGATTAGATCATGATAATAATATTTTATCATAATTGATTTAGTTACCGATTTTTTTTCTTCGATTTTTTAAATCGAAAACCGATCGTTAAAAGCATAAAATCAAATAAACATACTATTCTAAAAACATATGTTAATTGCGTAACCAAATTTCCACTAACAATAAACGAAAGAAAAATAAAAATCGAAAAAACCAATCAAGAAAATGCAATTGCACCAGAAAACCTTGTAGATTTTATTTTAATGCACTTCCCGAAGATTATACCTCTGATTATTTATTTGAATCCAGGACGCAACAGCAAAAAATTATGAATTAATTCAAATAGTAACTAATGGCTCGATAGTATTAATAAAAACGTTGAGCCATAGCATAAATTGGAGGATTATAATCATTTTAGGGCAATGGAATTTAGAAAAACCTTAATTATAATACTTTCTGATTGTAATAAATTTTACGTTTATTGAGTTATTCGAAATAAATAAAATGATTAATTTATTACTTATCGTTATTATTTCGTTAAGTTATATGAATTTTTTAGTGCTCGATATATTTGTCACGTGGTGTTCGAAAACTGTTTTGGGTGCAATTTTACCTCGGTCGACATTTTTTTTAGGCCAAACTCGTCTAAATTCTAGTCAAAATTAAATTTAAATTTAAATTTTGACCAGAATTTAGACGAGTTTGGCTAAAAAAATGTCCGATTTAAGCATCCCACCTACCTTATAATTATAATTCCTGTTCCTCAGAAGGATACGAAGAGTTAATTTTTTTTAAAAAAGTTCGGTTATATAAATTCGCAGAATTTATGGCATATTTTTAAAAAATCGCAGAATCTACAGCAAAGATATGAAAAATTTTCGAGCATAGCGGGCTTTAATCCTGATTGGGCAATCTATATATTATATTACATTTTAGAATTCCAAAGATAAACGGCAAGAATTAGAGGAAGATCTGGCATTTCTTAGGGTCACGAGTATTATCGAATCAATAATGTTTCGGGTGAATCCGTATACATTATTTCATACGAAATATGATTTCACGTTGGCAAAAGCTATCTAATATTAGATACTTTGTGATTTAGTCCAAAACGTAAAATACGGCATGGTAATGTAAGTTAATACAAGTTTTTAAAAAAAAAGAAAACTTTGATCTCAGTGTAATTTGACGTATTTTTTTAAGTTCATTCTAATGTAAAAATATTTATAATTGTAAATATAGATATCTTTTTTAAAATACTATTTTATTTGTATTTGTTTATTTATTATTCGTCTTTTATTATAATTTTATTAAACAATATAGTTATATAATAATACAGTGATAATAATAATACAATAATAATAATAATAATAATAATAATCAAATTAAAGCTATAACATCCATTCGACTTTAATATAACGTAATTAAAATTTTTTGATAATTTTTTTCTAAAAAATCTAAATGTTGTTAGTAATAGTGATACATATCAGTCATCAAACTAAATCGCTTGATGTCCAGGTCACACCACGAGGAGGTTTGCATCATGTGACCCAAAGGAGTTTAAAATCAGGGATTTGAAAGAAAAAACCAAATCTCTAAAGAAGGGGATTAAGGAAATCGATTTTAACAGTATATTCGATTAGTTTTTTAAATTCATTTATTTTCCCGATCTAAAAGATCTCGAAATGATAAAATACGATACTGATGATGTACCAAGTCATCAATAAAGTTGCGATGTCATCTCGCTAAAATGAATGACCCTCCGGGTATACAAGAAAACCTACTATTGCCCACCCTCCCACACGCAATAGGTGCTTCATCAGTTCTGGAAATGCACTACGAGTTTTTCGAGGGTCGTTGGTTTTTGGTTTTTTGATCAAAACCAACACGAACATACCTGATACTATGACAAAAAGAATAAAGTTGTAAATATCTAAATTTGAAAAAATCCAAATACAAATATAAACAGAAGTAACGAGATAAATACATTAAACTCCATAGTATACCGGCGACGTAGGATGGTACGACGAATAAAACAACAGCCAAAAAAGAAAAATATTGATTGTGAGAAAACAAAGTGATATCAGTATATATAGTATTGATGTCGATCATGGTATACCCAGCAGGACCGTGGGAAATGCGCAGAAAATGTTGAGTTATTAGCGATTTTTTAAAAAATCGGTACACCTGATCCGGGGATCAGAGTCCTCGAATTTTTCTAGCAGCTAAAATAGCACTAGCGATATTACGACGACCACATATCCAAATTCAACCAAATTTGGATTATTTTAATTCTACATGTCTATAGAATACAAAATAAAAAAATTTTTACCGAGTTTAGTTTGATTGGTTTTCGTGATATTGTTTGTGCTATTTTAGATGCCAGAAAAATCCGAGGGGATCTTATTAGCATTACTTATAAGCTGTCGATCATATAATCTAAAAATCTTGGTAATGTATTAACCCATTTTTTAACATATTTAAATCAAACAAACATAATTTTTAAGATCACGTTTTAAAACATTAATGTATTATCGTCAAGTTTAGGTTCGATATATGTTAAATAGTTCAAACAAGCTTTTTAATTTGCGATTTATTTTCGAGCTACAAAATTAAAATTATTTATAAAGGTATTATGATTCGAGTGTTAAAAATCATATGACAAATTTGAGTCTCTATGCAAAGGTTTAACAAACGTTGTTAATAAGTTATTAAAATGCAAATGAATCTGAGTAATTGTAAATAATTGAGAAGATACTTAGGAACTTAAATTGTTATTTTAAATATGTATAAATATAATACGGTTCATCCTTTCAAAACCCTCAAGCCATGATTCCGATAGCTATTACTAGGAATGTGACTCTCTAATACGTACGTTACGTAATATGCTATAGATCAAGCTACAGCTTAAACTGCGGCTCTAAGACGCAGCTCAATCACGTTTTAAGCTTTAGCTCATCTGATTGGCTCCATTATGCAGCTGACTTCAAATAATATAAAGTCTGTAGACTGTAATAAACTAAATGACATGTACAGTAGTACCAATTTGAAAAATAACCTAGAATTATTAATGACATTTATCTTTTGAATGTTTAAAGTACCGTTTAGCACTGCATAAAGTATCTTCTAAAAATAATACCCCTCTTGATTAAACCCATCTGGTTTTATTCTTGAATAGTGTAATAACTATATTTAATTTATTATCTTCATATGAGTGCTGCCAAGGGAAAACCTGAACCACTTATATGATATATCCCATATATAGTACCCATAACACGGGTACTAATCAATTTAAAATGGTGTTCTTGATTATTGTATGCAGTTTTATATGGTAATATTTGTCCGATGAAATAACATAATTATGACATATGATCGAGCCTAAAGTCTTGTACGTATCATTACATTGCATATCTCATCTGACTTAAACGAATTTGTATGACATGAGAACGAATTGTAAAATGAAACCGAATACATATTCAGAAGCTACTCCTTTTACTTTATATACAGTAAAAAAGTAATTCAGAAGTTAGTGACGGGGTGCATTTTTTGTCTTATAGGTTAAAGTAACTTAAGGTAAATTGTACTTTGGATAGTAAACGTTAAGTTTTTTTTAAACTTTTAATATAAAAATAACGATTCAAACTTATACTTACAGCTAGTTTTTTTCTTTTAATGTAGGGTTATTCAACTAAGTTTTTAAAAGCTACAACATATATATTAAATGTAGAGTATACAGGACATGTATGGTTACACATCCTTTATGAGCGTGTATTACGTACACACTCATTGATAATTGACGGTTCTTTTAATTTATTTATTATATATCTTTATATGTACTAGTTAGCAAGCGAATGATTAATAAAGATTATTTATATATCTAAAAAATTAAGCTTAAAGATGCTATTTTTGTCCGAAGACTTTAATGCGACGGGTGCCCCTGCAATAATATTCAGATCAGGCAGAAGTTTTACTGTCCAGACTTGTGATACCCCAGTAATAAAACATACGGTATACTTTATTTGACAAGAAAAACAATCCCTTTCAATTTTACAAGAGAAATAAAATGACGGAAATTAGTATATCTACGATACAATATATATATATATATTATAATGTACTGTAGAATCATATATGTGGACGACCACAGCAAAAGGTGGCAATGTGCAAAAAATTTTGATTCTGTAATTTTATAAAAATTATATGCCTATTACTCTAATTCTTCAAGAAATTGTATTTTTAAGAAAAAAAAATTTTTGACACATTGCCACCTTTTGTTATGAGGGTTCCCATATATAACAATTGAATGTTTACTTTGAAACTTATTTGAGTGAATGAATAAAAATTTATTATAGAATATACTGTAAAATTAAATATATTTTTTAAGGATATAGGCTCCGGACCTCAACGGTTCCCGTTTCCTAGTTTATTATTGTAAGTTTAACCAAATACACATTTAGTAATAACTATTGTCAAAAATTATTATTATAAATTACATAATTTGAATATATCGTTTTGCTAATAGCTCCGAAAAAAAGTTTTCGCTTCGAACTTGTTTTCTATTAGCTAAATAAAACAGCATCTGGTACCTGGTGTGCGTCACGTGACAAATATATGAGCACTAAAAATTCATAAAAAAAATTTAGACTAACAAAATAATATCGATAAGCAATAAATTTAATCATTTTATTTATTTCGAATAAACTCAATAAACATAACATTTATTACAGCCTGAAAGTACTATGATTACGTATGGTTTTTCTAAGTACTGTATTTGGAATATCCCATTGCCTTTTAAAAAAGATTATAATCCTCCCATTTATGCAATGGCTCAAAATTTTTTGCAGATCATAGTATCATGTGAAATCACAGAAAATTGGTGGATTATTGAGATCGATAGCAATTTAGAATCTTTGAAATTTTCTGACACCATTATCACGAAAATCAATGTAAAACAAAATCTGCTGATGCAATTACATTTTCTTGATTAATTTTTATAATTTTATTTCGATTTCCATTCTATTTTTGTTTATTAGTGGAATTTGGTTATGCAATCAATTTATATTTTTTAAAATAGTGTGTTTATTGGATTTTATGCTTTTAACGATCGCTTTTCATTTTGAGGAATAAGACTTATTAAATCAATTATGATTGTCGGATAACTGTCACTGCTGCTTTCTTCACGCGTTATGACGTGCCCTTTAGTCACGTCATAAGCACAGTATCCTAGTGAATGATCAGTGATCATCCACAACATGACGTACATAGTGTTCTAATGCTAGTAAAGCGTTATCACGCTTTACTAGTATTAAAACACTGAAGTATCGTAGTCATGAGCACTTGGTGCTTGAATATTCGGCATTCCAATTGTTGACCGGGTTTTAAATTTTAAATTTTTATGCACGTGAGTTACGAATAAAATGAATATTCTATTAGCAGTGAACATTCTGTTACACCAAATCTGTGAATAGTCAAGCATTATATTATGAATATCTGTATGAATATTTTCTGTAAATATTTCTGTGCGAATATCCATCAAAATGTCCGTGAATATTCTGTGCGAATAGTTGATTAATATGAGAAACGTAATCACGTGAGATTAATATGAGAAAAACTACCCCAATGACACCTTAAATTTTCCGCAGTCACGTGATCTTTTACAATGATTCGATTGGTTGTGTTTTTAAAACAGCATAAATTCGTATTTTGCAGATTTATTGATTATATTTAAATACTGTAGTTTAACACCTGCTTTATTTTTTATTTTATTTTTTTTTATTTAAACTAGTCTTTTGGAGACTAGGGCTTTTTTATTCAGTATTATAGGTACGGTAACTCATGGTTCGATTACCTCAGAGGAGTTACCTTACATTAGAGAGTACATCTAGTTACACGTACACTTTTGGTGTCTAATTTAAGTAGTCCGCCTATATATAGGTTCTATACTAGCTGTCATATCTGCAACCCAACTATGGATATTGCCTATTTAAACCTTCTGTATTGCAATCCTTACTGTTATCACTAGAACATCTCTGTTATATTATGTCAGTTGAGAAGTTCTAGATGCTTACCTATACCCTTAAGATCTCTGTCTTATTTCATGCAGATTATCCTCAAGACATTATTACTAGAGCTTTCTGTATTCCAAATTACAGCTAAACCTAGTTTACAACCTTTGCGAAGTTTATACAATTTCAGTATCTTCTTTTTACAATTTTATCATTATCTCATCTACCTTTGCAAGTCCTTCTATACTACCAATCTAGTTAGTTTTGCATGATGTGACTTCATGCCTAGATCAACCAGTAGCCAGGTTGGTGGACCTCCTACCTAGAAGTTCTTGCCTGTACAAGTTACCTGTTTCAGGTTTTCTTTAGTGAATCAAGATCTTTACAGATAGCATCATCGAAAGTTGTACTATCTCTCTGCTCAGGATTTTCAAGCAGGCTTCTAATCTGAATATATACTTTCTAGATTTATTCATGTGATATTGCATACTTCTAAAGTTAGTTTTGGTATAACCAGAATTATAGGATCTACAAACTCCAGATCACAGATAAGTTTGTCAAAATAGGTCTATTTTTTCAAAATCTGTCATCGATAAAAATTGAACATTAGATCTACTACTTAAAAAATAAACTGGATAACAGTCTTATAAGACTGTTATCTAGTTGCATTATAGTGTTATCTAGTTAAGATGATATAGTCTAGAATTTTATATTAGATTTTAACTGTACCAAGTAGATTATATCTGTTCCAAGTAGATTATAATCTGTGAAACTGTTCTCAGGTATGTGGCCAGTTATTTAGTTTCTCTTTTCTAGGTCACCCAACTAATTAAGAGAGAAAATGCATGATTCTATCTTTCTTGGCCTGTTTGAAGACCATCTTAGTTGTCATCTTAGCCATATTTTATATTGAGGTGCTTACCTTTTTGTGCCTATTTAGTTGCCTATTAAAATATCAAAATGTGGTAAAAAAAATATTGTGTCAAGTAGTGAAGTAAATCTGTGTTTAAATTTGCTCAGCACTATAGCATAATTCTGGCCAATCTTTAGAACACATGATTTGAGAATCTATCTCAGCATCATGATAGTGCCCCAATAGTATCATAGCACTAGCAGAAAACTGGCAGAAAACCAGAAAGGTTCTATTAGTTCGCCAGTTCTGAATTATTTTTATGCTGGTTTTGATACCAAGTTATTGTATTCAAAAATTTGGCTGAAATTATAGAATAATGCTAGTCATAATTAACTGAATTTACTATGCCTCCACTATTACTTCAAAGGCCTGATCATAGTTTAAATGTACTTGTGCTGGTTGAGGCAATGAGTGTATTAATTTTTGAGCATCACCAAGAAATCCTCTTGTTACTATAAAAAAAATTTCTTGGTAACGGCTCTTAGTAACACTTTCATATACTTTTTCAAAGTTTCACGATGCTCAGTCATCTTCTTTTATATCTTTTCTCTTTGTCACTAAGAGTCACTAAGAAAAAGTAAAGTTTTAAGAAAAAAAAATTAATTTTTTCTATAGATAATTCTATGTATATGTATTAATGTATATATGCTTAGTATGAAGTATATATGCAATATATGTATAATATCAGTTAGAAAAAAAATAAAAAAGTAAAGAAGTCCAAATTTTCTTAGTGACTCTTAGTGACATAGTGACACCTATCTGAAACTTATTCTGTGAGTTTGAAATAGTGAAATAGTTATAAATTTTGTCATCAAGAGTGTCACTAAGAATTTTTTGTTACTAAGACTTTTTGATGATACTCATCAAGTTGTATTATTTTTGTTTACCTCTATATTACCTACTGTTATCTGTGTCAAAGCCAAGTCAGTTAGCTTTTTCTAATAGTACTATTCTATTTTACAATGTTTTCTTGCATGAATATCACAAGTACCATATTTGGAAAAAGTTAATTTACCGCATTTATTGCAAGGTACACATGAGGGAGAGTTCCAATGAATTTGGCATCCTTCCAGTTGGTAGCATCACCAATTGCAAACCTTACCACTCCTGAGAATATAAGGACATCAATAAAATATTATTTTTTAATAACTATAAATAGTTGGTTTATGTATCGATTTATATATTTTGGCATTAATTTTTATTTTAAACTTTTTTCTTCCGGAATATATACATTTTCTCGAACTGTATATTTGTGATATAATACCATGATTCAATCTGAGCTTTCAGAGATTTTGGATAGCCCTGCCCTTTTTCAGCCAAAGGCTGAAAAAGATAAAATGAAAGGACAAGTAATTCGTTATTCTGGTGAAAATTACTTGACGGGTATTCCAACCTGTGATGATTTAGTCACAGAAAACAATAAAGGATTAATAGCAATTCTTGAAGATGCTTTATCTAAGCATCGAGATATTCTATTTATGGCCATTGATGTGGAAGAGTCCACTAAATTTACAAATAGTCAAGCCTGGTATGTATTGCATCTCTATAGCCCTCTCATCAATGGTCAGAAAGCAGTTGTTTCAATAATGGGAATTTGAGTATTCTTTGATATTCTCATACTAGATAAGAAATCTACAGATGCATTTGAGGCAAAAATAAGAGGCATCCTCTCCAATGTAATAAAATTATTTGAAATAGAGCATATAAAGGCATTTATATTTTGTGGTTATTATGCAGAAAAAAAGTTATATTTGCACATTTACGCAGTTAATACTAAGCAAAAGAAAATGGCTATGAAAGTTGTTCAAAAGAAAAAGTATGTAACTGCCTTAGATGATCAATTTACATATTATTGCAAAGTGGCTTGTGAGTATAGAATTTCACTATTAGGATGGTCTACAATAAGTAATTATACATGTGAAATTGGAGAAAGGAAAAACCCACTCTGTGCATATGCTTTCTGAGTATCTATAGAGAATTTCCACCCTATAGAAGACCTGGCATCATTTAAAGATTACTTTCCAATTTCAGCGCTTATGAGAGATCATACACTTGTTCTCACATGGAACATAGAAACCTATAGTTCATGTGGATTGGGTGAATTTCCTAAAGCAATTAATGAAGAAAATAGCATAATCATGATTAGCATAACTTTGCATTAGAAAGATGATCCAAAACCTTTAAAACAGATCTGTCTTGTTGATGTTGATACAGCATCAGATCCATGCTAGATTACAATTATATGTGGATTACAAACTAATTTGCTAAAAGCATTTGCACTTTGCTGGCAGGCATTTGCTCCAGACATCCAACTCAGATTTAATGATTTGCAATATGATTGGCCTTTTATTATAAAAAAAGCTAATAGGTTACATCTCATTGAATGGATGTGGAAACAAATGTCAGGAAAAATTCACCAGGAAACTTCTGAAGGTATTATACAATGAAATTACTATAGAAAATTAGAAGAAATAACTACTCCAAATAAGTACTCTTTCGTAAAAGAGAATACGAAAGAGAATAAAAAGAGTACATAGAAGAAGAATTCAGAAGAGATTTTATTTTTATCAAAGTTAGCCCAGAAGATATCTTTAAATCTTCCTTTCTTAAAATACCTGGATGTGTACTAATCGATGTCCGTGCATGTTTTAAAAAACTTTACTCTCACTCAGAAATAGAAAAGAAAAGTTCACTGAAGTTTTACTTAAAATTATATAGACTTAAGAGTAAGGCCAATATGCATTTTAACAGATTATGGAACTACTATTCTGAGACAAAAAAACTCTCTTCTGATATAACTGCAGAAAATATGTATGAGGTAGCAAACTATTGTATTATAGATGTGTTGCATTGCCAAGAACTCGCAGTCAAATGCAATGTAATTAATAATTATAAAGAAGTTGCCTCTATAGCTTATGTATCTTTATTTAATACACATTATCATGCAAATAGAATGAAGGTAAGGAATCTTCTGGGCACTTATGCCACCAAATGCAATATGTTATTTAGTACAATTTGCCACAAAGATAAAGAAAAGGGTAAGTATCCAGGAGCATATGTTTTTCCTCCAATAAAAGGTATTGAGAATAAGCATCCTGTTACAAGTCTCGATTTCATCTCATTATATCCTAGCCTTATTATGGCTTACAATCTTTCACCTGAAAAATTAATATTGAGCTGTGACGAGGCTAATAATATATGTGAAAGAGGAATTGAATTATATGAGATTAAATTTCTATTTAATGGGTGTATTCTTTATGCCTAGGCCATCTGTTATGGCAATTGTTCTGAGAAAAAAGAATTATATCCTACCATTCTAGAGGATCTGTTTAATAAACGAGTAAACCTTAAATCAAAGTTTGCTATACTATAAAAAGAGAAGGAGCATCTTGAAAAGCTTATAAGCACCATAGAAGAGAAGGGTAAAATTGTACCAAATGTTTTAAAATCAAAACATAATTTTCTATGTTTTGATTATAATTGCTTAAACTCAAAATAATTTGCTTTGAAAGTCTATATGAATACATTTTATGATGAGGCAGGTAATAGTAACTCTCTATTCTTTCTTCATGAATTAGCTAGAAGAATTACTTTAGCAGGACAATACAATATTGGTCTTGTTGCTAGATTCATTATAGCGAAAGGCTTTGGGATCAAGTATGGTGACACTAACTCTTTATATCTTATCTGCCCAAATAACTATTATGAAAAATGCAATAGAGATTATAATGAAAACAAGCTTTTCAAAGAGGCATATTGGAGTAAAATGGTAAAAATTACTATAAAGATGATGGATGAATTTCGTAACAAAGTAAATACTTATCTTAGAATAAAAAATGGTACCTCTTATCTAAAGATAGTGTATGAGGAAGTACTGTTCCCTGTATGTTTTACTGGTAAAAAGAAATACTTCGAAGTTGCATATGAGGAAATAATAAATTTCAAGCCAAAAAAGCTATTTACTAAAGGTATTGATACTGTAAAGCAAGGTCAAACAGAGCTTTTCAGATTCATTAGAGAGAAAATCATGAGAGAGGCAATGAATATTGATAATATACGCACAATTCATCAAATTGTCGAAGATACTATTAGAGAAGCTAGTGAAAAGCAATAGGATTTTAACCAATTTGTTGCGATAGCTACATGAAAGCCTAATAAAGATAATAAATGTATTTAGCACTTTATGAAACGGATGAAAGAAAATTATGAAAACAAGATTTCTGATTTAGGTGAGTGCTTTAGTTATGTGGTTATGAAAGGTAAATGGTATTGTGATGAAAATGGTCAGTTAATACTATATAGAAATGCTGATTATATAGAGTTTTCTGATATTGCAAAAGAACAAAATATGAAAATAGATATCAACTATTACTTAGAAAAGACAATTGGAATGTGTGCATGCTTTATCAATGAGAATAAAAAATATCAACCATCTTCTTCACATAAAATTACACAACTTAAAGATTCATATGAAAAAAAGAACCAAATTGATGTCTATTCTCAGAATGAGGCAAAAAAATAGCTTAAAAAATATATAAAAACTTTACAATAAACATTTTAGATATTTTGATAATTCGTCCGAAGTGGAGATAGATGAAATCATCAAATTATATAGATAAGTACACTTAGCTGAAATTTCCATACCCCTCTAGAAAACTTATAATACGTATATCAGAGTTGGAAGAAAGATGCTTAGCTAAAGTTAGTCCTAATACATATTTATAGGCATGTAAAAAAAAACATCAATAGGAGGCATCATATAAAAATATGAAACAGAATTACTAATGGTATAATATTTGTCCTAATGTATCAGAAAGAATATGTCAGTATATATTTGAGGATTTATTACATAAAAAATTTCCTCTTCGAAAACCTAAATTCTTAAAAGAATTACATCTAGATGGGTATAATGAGGAGCTAGGCTTGGCCTTCAAATATAGTGATAATCAGCATTATCAAATCATATCTTTTTTTTATCCACAAGGGCAGATGAATCTAGATGCACAAATTTGTCATGATTAGGAAAAGAGGGCATTATGCTACAAGGAAGAAGTGATTCTCATTACTATACCCTACTGTGTAATAGACTTAGAAACATTTATAAAGAGTGCCTTATATGCATTCAGTTATCTCTCAATATTCACCTAAAAGGCAATATAGATTCTTCCTTAATATGCATTAATTGTTCTCTTACAAAGGGACACCGAGGTCTCGATTCATCTAAATAATATAAAATGTGCATAGGAGGATTTTTTCTAACAACAATTCTCTGGATCTTATGCAGGCTAGAAGACCATATTGGATTTGTTATTCTATATCGTTCGAAAGGATCATTTTCTCATTCTCTAAGAGCAAGCAAAAATCGGATAGTAGTACCTTTTGATAGTCGCAGTTCATCAACACCTATCGGGCAATTATATTTTATCAATAGTTTGGAATACACCTGCTCAAATTTTGTGGCCTTATTGGGACTTATTTCAATTAACTGAGTAGTAGTATCATTCATGTTATCAACAATTCTTCTTGCAAATCATTCACATTCTCTACAGTGTTCGCCGGTAGATAAAAGAAACTCTATTGCATATTGATTTTTAAAAACCCTTAATTCAAATAATCCAGCATAACTATCAACTATAGCCAAGCTTGTATGCCTAAAACATGCTTTAATTCTTTGGATGTTAATATTGTGTTCATCTATTATCAATATCATACTTTTCTTGAACTCAGAATCTTGGTTACATTGCAATAGCTAAGTTCAGTTAAAAGGATCGTTAGGATTATTATATATACTCTTAAATGCTTCCACGACTTCTTCACTACTTTTTGATGTTAAAAAAATGAAATCTTTATATCTAGTCATGCAGTCTATAACCAATAGTATATAGTAAAATATTGGGCCATTATCCAACAAACCTGTATCTACATCTTCATTATATGATATTTCAATTAAATCATATTAGTATACAGAATTTAGTTTTGTAATTTTAAAGTAACTGGTATAAGATATATTCTTTAGCAGAGGACGAAAAATTTGATACATTGCTTGGCCATCAAGCTATTTTTTTATATTAATAAAAAGAAAGTTGTAGTCAGCTTTCTTACAAGTGTCTCACAATCTTTTAACATTTTGATAGAGACCCTCAGGCTGATAATACAGCTTTTGTAAGGCAAGATATCAGTCAAGATCACATGCTTTTTGGGAATCAATAAGAATTGTAGGTTTTTGTAATGCCAAATTTCGATTTTTAACTTTTTTACTCTTAGTAATTTCTTGATCGAGTTTATAGGCTTTTTGTGGATCGATATAAATCAAAGGTTTTTCTATTATACTATAATAAAAAAACATAGAGGAATTGCAGCAAAGTAATCAAGAACTCCATGATGTAATATCTCAATTAGCAGAATCAAATAGAAATTTTAATTAATGTTTATATACCTTAGAAAGAATTATTGGAATACAGGAAGAGAGAATACGATTTCTCAAAGAAATGTTAAATAATGCTATTGAAGTTTTTACACAAGAGAAAGAAGAATTAATAGAAAAAATTTCAAAATTAAAAAGAATCATTTATCAACTCAAGAAAGAAAATAAAAGGAAAGATAAAGAAATTTCTAGTAAAGATAAATTAATATCAGAATTCGATAAACATAAAACAAAATTAAAAACCCGAATATAAGAGATATCTAAATCAGCTGGAAATACATCTAAAGCACAAGATTATACAACCAGATTAGTAAATGAAAATGAATGCTTTAAATGAGAAATAAATACAATAAAGGTTAATCAAATAAACAGGATTAATAAAATAAATCAGCAAAAAAATCATATTACAGACCTGCTTTGTCAAAATTTTGCATTAGCATTATTAAGATATTGAAATAGATTAGAACTTAGAAATACATAAGAGGCTTTACAAAATGCATAAGCATGGAATTTTGGTGAAAATGAATCTGATTTTGATAAAAATTCTCTAGACTTGTATAATTCTGATGATAATATGAGTACAATAGCTGAATTGGCTGATGCTATAGACTGATCCCTAGATAATACAACAATATGTAGAATAATTTTAACAAATCAAATTAAAAGATTAACAAGACAGATACATCAAAAATATACTAACCTGCAACAAGATCTGGTAAATGAACAGTGGCACTGAGATACATATAGGCAAGAGTGAGATCAGGCATTGCTTGATCTTCATCAATTACAGACTAATGCACAAAACCAAGTAAATAGAATAATAGATAATATGGCAAGAAAACAAACTCACATCAGTGAATTGCTATGTAAAAATTTTGCCTTCTAGTTATTGTATCAGCAAAATATCCTCTACCTACAAGATTGTAGAACAAATAGAGCAATTACTACACATCTTTTAAATCTTACAAATAATTGATACATCAAATGGAAAAATAAAACTCATGCAGAGCACCAGAATAATTTAAATTTAAATTAACAAATTTTGGCACTACATAATAATCAACAAAATCAAAGAAATATGGCAGGAATACCTCAACCATTTTTTGACTAGGGCAATGATATCCCAGATTTTCTTGCAAAGCTAAGATTATACTTGCAAAACCAAGGTATAAATCTAGCAAATAATGTGGGAGGTTCACCAACAGGAAGAGAAGTAGCTATGGGATATTTAAGAGGCTGTATGAGAGGAAAAACTTTAGAATGGTTCGATGAAGAAATTACTACAAAGCAAAATTGGGAATTAGCAAACTTACTTAATAATACAGGGCAAGCTAACATAGTAGCTGTAAATGGATATACAGCTATTCAGATAGGAGCTAATAGAATAAACAAAGCCCTTAATTAGCTAGGGAATGCAATAGTTAAGTTAAGAGCTGTAAAAGGTTCTTAGAATGAAGACTAGTATATAGCAAGAGGTTGACCTACTAATAATGCTCCAAATGCTTTCAATGCTAATGCTGGTAATACTGTAGTTGTATCTGGAATTCATTTTGGTCAAGCTATATAGTAGTTAAAAACCTATTTTCCTACAGTAGAAGAGGAGCTTCAGGATATGATATATGGAACAATCAGAAAGGGAAACATGACTATAGATAAATTATATAGAAAAATATTATAAATAGGTAGACAAGCCGACTATAAATCTGAAGAATTACGTAAAAAGTTCTTAAATGCTCTTCCACTTTCATGGCTTGAAAAAGCTGAAGATATCAGTAAACATTTGCCATTGGATGAATTAGCTAAAAAACTTTATGAGATAGAATTATGCTGAATAACTAGATATAAAAGAAATAGAATACTTGATCTATTAGTTTCTTAGTGTGCATCTTGAGAAATATATAAACCCTTACCCATTTCAGCTTCCCAACAGCAAGGAATTTCTTTAGAAGATATGCAAAAAACAATCCAAAATATACTGACACAGCAAAAAACTAAATATCAGTCTTTATTAGAAAAGCAAAAAGCCAATTACTAATCACAAATGGCCTAGCAAGCTGTCACTCAAAAAGCTCAAGTGCCTGCTTCACAGATAGTAGAACAAGTTAGACAACCGAGAGGTCCTCCTTTATCATTGCAATCAGAAGAAGATCTTAAAAATTATTATATAGCTGAATATTTAAAAGAATTAGATTTATTAAATAAGAATAATTTAGACTCAGCTTATTCTGTAAAACCTTTTCAAAGATCTTGTCCTTAACGAAATAAAATTTTTGCTAAGATTGATAAAATAGAAAATGCAATCAATGAAGATAAAGATGTGGTAAATCAATTAACTAATCAATTACAAAAAGTATACATATGTAAATGTGTTATTTGTGGAGAGACAGGCCATAGTAAAGATAGTTGCCTTAATAGACAGATAGCATGATCTAATTTTAATTGGTCTGCTTATTTTAAGCCTTTTACACCTATAAATTTCCAAAACACACTACCAGATTTGGATAATGAGGAAGAAGGTTATGATGAAGAAAATAATAGGTAGACCAGATATGATCTACTAGTAAAAAAAAACAGGTATCAATAGAAAATAATAAGCCTGAAACATATAATCAGCTATTGTCTAAGCTTTCACCACTATATGAAAAATGTATTTGTCCCAAAAGGCTCTGGAGAAGAAGTCAAAAAAATCAGATGAGTGGTTTTTATCTTTATAGTACTTGTATTGTAATATAAATAATCTATCAATTCCTGATTCTTTCTTAGATATCAGAAGTAAATTTGGTGCTTTAAATGATCCAGCAATTCATGCACTTGGATAGAAAATTGATAAGCTATCTGATTTTGCTATAAAGGGCAATTCCAAACATATTACTGATTCATTAGAATAGTACACAGATGTGCTGGTTACTATGAAGAACAAAGAGGGAAAGACAGTCATGATCATTGGAAATTTTGTATATATAGATAATAGTAAACCTAAACTAATGCTATTTTTAGGCATGTCAAATATTCAAAAGCTCCAAGGTGTTCCTGAGTCAAATAAAAACTAGTTTTGCATAAAGTTACATAGAAAGACCTATGTTATTCCAACTTATAGCAAGGCTCTAGTAGCTAAAGATCTGCCAAAAGAGGAGCAGGAATCATCATCTTAGGTTTCTGCTAATTCTTCTAACCCAACTAGTGAGGACTTTAAAAAAAATACGAAAATCTTGAAAAGCACCTCTTGAAAACTGAGAAATGGCTTGACTTGGCATTAAATGCAAGTAAAATTTTAGTAGAAAGGTGCTCTAAGCTTATAGAAAAAAGATTAGATGCATAACAATATTTCAGTAATATTTAATAATTTATTAAGATCAGATTCCCATCTAGATATATCATTTTTAAAAGAATTGACTATTCTATTTTTTTTCACTAGAAAAGGTCTTATATGAGAATTTGCACTATCTCGAGGATGCTCTATATGAATAATCTTATTTTTTCGTATATTAGCAGAGGAGCTATCATGCTTAGCACTTAACAGCTGTAAAGATTTCTGGTTATTTTTTGAAATCTGATTAGAAACACTAACAGATTCTATGATTCTATATCATTTCTCAGTCAGTTCAGAGGCCTCTGATTATTAATGATTTTTTGATATATTATTGCTCCTATATGATGTTTTTTACACATAATATGCCAAGTATCTGGAATATTATTCTGAGCATTTCTGATTTTTTCAATGGCTTCAGGTGTCAAGCAGGTAGCATCTAATCTAAGAAATTTACAAGTACAGGTTAATAGTTTTTTACTTATAATTTGTTAATAATAAATTTGTATAATACTAATAAAAAACTTGTAAAAAATTTATTCACAATCTATTTGGAATTGGTCTGATATTGGTCTGATATTAGATTGATATATATAGAAAATTGCTTCCTTTATTATGTAGTTTGCTATAATCATGATCCAAATAAAAATAGGTTTGAGATATATATAGTTTAAATATTATATTTGTCTCAAACTGGTTTATTATTTGTTTGATATCAATTTGATTCTGATTCTCTTTCTCTACATTTGAAGAAAAAAACATTTTTTCTGATTTCTTTTTTTTTCTATTTTCGAATTTATATGGCAAATGTGCATATGCTAAATAAGATAAATAGTGAGGTAGCTTTAGTATTTGGCAATAAACTTGGGGATTTGCCATCTAATCGATATCCACCCAGCCGAACAGAACTTGAGAACCAACTTACTTGTACAAAGCATGACCTCAATATTGCTTTAAGCTCAGGTATTCAGCTTGGTACTAGATGCAATCTCTTGATAAAAAACAATGAGAGCTTTTCAGAGCATGCATGCCAGCTTGAAAATGAGGCAAGAGAACTCAAAAATCAGATTACTTACAAAGATATTTCTCTTACAAGTGCTAAAAGTGAGATCATTGCAAAATTGAAAAAAATACAGGCTCTCTAATTAAGAGTAAAAGAATTGGAGCAGAATCTTTCTTTAGTACAAGATGGGTTATCAGAAATGGAATCTCTTAGAAATGAATCCGAACTAGAAAATACCAACCTATTTTTAGCAAAATTGGACTTAGAAAAAACTCTGTTTAGAAAAAAAGATGAATTAACACAGATAAAGGATAATTTAGTTTCAGCATGAAAAGCATTATCAGAGAAAGATTTCCTTTTTTAAGAAGCTAATGCTTGTTTAGCGAAGCAGATTTTGAAAGCATCCAGTAAGACCAATAGGATGATTAGAGGTGTTAGTGGACTGGAGAAAGGTAACAGCATCACTAGGCCTGAAACAACCTCAGTATCACCCAATTTCTTCTTTCAGCAGAATGCAGTCTTCATCATAATAATGATATTACTAATCATATACTTCCTATAGCACATATCCTCTTATATATATTCTTTTATTTCACTCTTCAATAAAGAAAAAATATTCTGAATTATAAAATACCCTTAGATAGAAATCAGAGTTATGGATTCCCAATCTGTCATACAAAAAAACCAAAAAAAAGAACTACCACCTATGAAACTCTACCTTATAGATATGGATGAGGCTACAAAGCACGAATCATTCTGAAATATTGGACATCCAGCAATGTTATAGCCTTTTAGCATGATAGTTAGTGGAAGAAGTGGTACAGATAAGACCAATTTACTAGCAAATCTTGTTCTTGGAGATAAATGTGAACATATATATAAAAGACAAAGAGAAGGATCTAGATATATTAGATGTGATAATTTGATAGTTTGTAAATACCACCTGGATGAACCTAAATAGGCATTTGTTAAATATATGTATAGACTAATTGCAAGCGATCCCAAAGTGCCATATTATGAAAATATTACATTCAGTTATATCTCACCTGAAAAAATCCCTAGCGTAAAATTATTTTCACCTGAGAAGAGCACTGTAATCATTTTTGAGGATGTATGTGTTGCTTCTGAATCTATCCAAAATCGAATAATTCCATTTTTTACACATGAGCATTATCGAAATATTTCTTCATGCTATGTTACTCAGAAGTACCATCATGTACCAATTATTATTTATAAAAACATCTCTCTTTTAGTAATATATAATGGGGGAAGCAGTTATCAAGATGTCTCCAAGATAGCTGGCTGATATACTAATAATGTAAAAAATGCATCTATAGTTATTAACAGCTACTTCCACAAAGATGAATTTGTTGTATTTGATCTCAGCAGGTCAGAGGATGATCTTCTCGCAATTCGACTAAGGTTTGATACTCTTTTAAACCTGCAAAAAGAGATAAAGGTGAGGCAGAAGTGCAAAGAAAAAAGTAATTAGAAAATTTTTTAGATAAAATTTCACAAAACTCTTTACTCTGAAAAAATTTATTTTTAAGAAGAGATGATTTGTTTGTTCACAAACTTCCAAAGCGCTTAATTATATTACTGACCATAGATGAGAAAATCATAAGTAAATATATATTTCATAGATTTTTATTTCATATCGATGGTGGACAACTATAAAAAAATAAATTATTATAATAAATATGTAATGGCCTGCTTCGGCAGAGAATCTATGGTCTAGAAAATTTGGCACACATACTCACAATTATTGTTCGAATCTAAGAAATCTATATTAATTTCTTCTCCTAGAATATAAAAATATTTAGTTTTAAAATAGTTGATTTTTAGTGAATTGCATGGATATGATTTGCTATGCATTTTATACATGTAATGCACATACTCTAATTTTCTAACAATTCTTTCATTACCAGATTTATTAATATGGTAATATTCAGGATTTGATAGTCACTTTAACATATAAGTTCATTCTGAATATTTAACAATACTATAGCCTTGTCGATGTAATTCTATAAAAGCAAGTATATATGCTACAAAATTTAATCATTCACGTAACTGATCTTTCTTTTTTTCTGCCCACTTGTATAGAGTATAATAATTATATAGGCCATTTTGATGATATGCAGGTACATCTTTAGCTAGAATTTTTCAATCAATATACCATACATATCGATCATCAGAAATTCTTATATTGCAAGAAGTTATACCTAAAAACTTCTTCTCATCAGGGATACCATCATTTCTTACTATATTCCAAACTAGTTTTGCTCATGTTTTGGGTCTTAACTTGAAAGCTCTTCAAGCCTGTTGAATAACTTTTGCATTATTAATTAAATGATTTACAATCTTTTTCCTACTCTCATATGAATAATCATAACTATAATGAGCCAAACCTTTACTGTACATAACCCAATAAGTTTAATAAATTTTTTCAATCTCATCAAAACTGAGCAATGATATACTCTTTCAGCTTGGCACTTTTCCATTTTTCCATACAGGTTTAAAATATGCAAGGTGTTTTTCAGTAATGCATTTCTTCAGGTGATTACTAGCATATTTGATAGTATTTTCATAGATAAATATCAAAGTGTTGCATACAGTACAATAAATATAAAATGAATGCTTTTCAACTGTAAATCCCCTATTTCTAGATCTTTTAGTCATATAGATAAATCCATTCTTAGAGAAGTATTTTGGGTTATTTTCTAGAAGTGTCCTAAATAGATAATGAATATGAGAACACTACATTTCAGGTGTTTTATTACTATACCTATATTGCAAATTGATTAATGCCTGTGATATAGCAGGATTTAAACCATTATAGTAGTTAGTTTTAACCATTTTGTGGATATAGTGATAATATAGCAATTTTCACTGATTTTATTGATTTAGCAATTTAATAACTTATAGCAGTTTGTAACAAGTATATAATAATAAAATATCAGATTCATTTTTATTCGAAACTGAAAAATACACTGTGTATGCATATTTACATAGAAGAGAAGGGAGCATATACTTCGTAGATTTTTATTTTACATCGACACTTTTCTACCTGTGTCAGAATTAGATAAAAAATATTAATATAAAAAATATATTACTCTAATATAGCATTAGGAAAATGATGGACAACTATCTATGCCTATATCAAACCAAGTTATTGGCTAGTTATATTTATATATTTTTTTTCTGGTGGATACATTCAATTACTCTTTGCAGTATGGTTCAGTTGTTTAGGAAGTCTTCTCCTTACATATGCCCCATATTGAGGGTGATGATCATGCTTAGGGCAAAAGAAAAAAAAGATATATCTATTTATTTAGATTTTGAGGTGGATACATTCAAACTATTTTTTATCTTGTAGTTCGGTGGACTAACTACAGAAAGCTTGTTCGGTCTTCCTCTCCTTACAACAGGACAATAATAGTTGATGATCATGCCCTCTCTTAATATAAAGTTAAGGAACAGAGAAAAAATAAATTGCAGGAAGGTAATAGTCAAATCCTAGGCCTGTCTTGAAAGGCTATAACTACACCTGAGAAGACTATATCTGCTTTTTTCTCACAAGCTCGAAAAAAGATATATTTTTAAAAAATCAATAACTATCTTTATCTGGCTTCGAGTAATTTATCACAAGAAGGTGGGTAAATAAATTGCATATTTTTTGCAGACTGGACCAACCACCCTAACTAACTATTGGGTTATTAAAATAATAACCATATGTTTGTTGAATCACAAATATACTCAGTAGAGGCTCTATCATTTCAATAATAGATCTGAAATTTTTTGTATAACTAAGTATATTCAATAGTAGCTTGGAAAGATCAACTTATCAACACAAAACAATCTAGTGTAAAGAGTGGAAAATCAATAAAAAATAGCTCTAAAGGAATTTATATAACCTGAATTAGCACTATTATGTGGTTATATATATCAATATCTAGTTTTAGGCTATATATAAATTTGATGCAGAGTGTATTATTAATGACAATATGTTTGTTTTTAAGGGGCAGTTTTACTCCATTTTTTTTCGCATATGAAAAAAACAAATATATAGAAAACATATTTTGTGGCACAGAAATCGTTAATCAAATTATCTTTCTTTTTTTTGAATAAAATAAGAAAAAAAAGGCTTATTTACAAATTTAAAATAAGCATATATACTGGGCTGTTTGTTTTCAAAAATACTTATAAATACATATATGTGCTTTTTTAATGCAACCACATTCTATCAACTGCTTTTTTCATCTGAATTTGGAACAGAACTTTGTACTGAGACTCTTTATTATAAATTATAGCTTATTTTTATTAGTTCTGTATATACTATAACAATCTGACATGAAGCAGTATGCAATATAAATGACTTAGTATTGTGATAATTTAACATGAGTCAACTAATAATATTTTTTATTTGGCATCTTAACGTAGCATGATTAATTAATTAAATTGTGTACTAAATTCAGTACCACAATTATTGAACATGGCAAATCAATACATATTTGCTTATACAGGGTAAAAATTTTACAAGCTATGGTATATCTGTGCCAAATCTACAAATTTGGAATAACCATTATATTGGCCAAACATCTACTATCCTGATTTTTTTATTAAATATAAATATGTGTTAAACACAACATATAACAGTAATCTAATTTTTATCATTGATAGCTGTCAAAATTATGCGACTTATCTCGGCACTGATTTATGCTAAAATGGATACACGAAAACTCAAACTCTAATGATATATTTGTGCTGAAAAAATAAAGTATTTATTATAACAGCCATAGGTCCATATACATGTTTTTGAAATAACTATCACAAGATATTCAGGTTATGATTATAAATTATTTTTTATTACTATTATAAGTATGCACTTCGACAGCACTTCGACAGTGTCTTAGACAATTTTATATATATTTATTATGAAAAAGTCAACAACAGTTCAACAGTGGCTTAACAGCAGTTATCTAGAATCTATATAATAATATGTATTTATGAAATTTTAGTAAACATACATGTGCGCTATTTTAACACAACTATAGATCATTTCGAATTAGGAAAAGCTACGAGCACAATATTTCACGTGATATTGTCTTATTGGCACAACAAGATCGACCAATAAGAGTCTACATAATTTTACATAATTTTTAACCAATTAGTATTAAATAGATCAATTGTCTACTCAACTGTAAATTGATTTTCTACATATGCTTTATTTTGTATTTAAAGTATGCATTAATATTTACTTATACCCTTAATTAAATGTTACTAGTATCAAATACACTTTTATATGATTAGTAATTGGGTTTTAGAATCAAG